GCGGTGGGTTTTTATTTTGTTTTTTTTTGGGGGGGGGGGGCAGTGAGTGTTACAGCATTTCAATCTTTATTGATATTTATGTAGTGGTGCATTGGTGCTCAGTGATAATGGCATTTGCTGCATTGATGAATTTGACAAGATGAATGACAGTACACGATCAATTTTGCATGAAGTCATGGTAAGGTTATGTCAGAAACTATTAATACAATACAGCAGGGAAGAAAAAACAGAGTACTTACCCATCAATTTGACGTTTACTTCTTGTACAAGATACAGAATTTATCGCTGACTGTCTCGTTGTTTAAAAATTCCGTTTCTAGACCATTCCTTTAGTTCTTGCATTTAAACATTCCAGGACAAAAGTAATTGGGATGACAGCAGAACATTAAAACGTAGTTCAGTGCAATTCTATGTAACATAGCAATGCAATTCTATGTAGCATTAAACAGAGCATATTTCTCCTCAATCTAATACAGGAACAGCAAACGTTGTCAATTGCCAAAGCTGGTATAATCTGTCAATTGAATGCAAGAACATCTATTCTTGCTGCTGCTAATCCTGTGAAGTCACAATGGGACACGAAATTGACAACTGTGGAAAACATTCAGTTGCCTCATACCTTACTTTCAAGGTCAGTAGACAAATGCTGTTGAGTGGAAGTGGGTTTGCTGACCAATCGAATGACTCGCTGACCGCAATATATTTATTAAGGCCCGTTTACACTTGCTGCAGTTTTTAGTGCGATTTTCTGCTTCTGATGCATGTGAACAAGTGGATGATGACCCTCATCTAAACATTTATAACTCGTTCACATTCATTGGAAGAAGAAAATCGCATCAGAGTTGTAGAAAAAGTTACAAGTGTAAAAATCTTATTTAGGTTTGATTTAATCTTCCTCATGCTGGATCCTCAGGACGAGGCTTATGACCGTCGTCTTGCCAAACACTTGGTCTCACTATATCACCAGACACGAGAGGAAGAGGAAGAAGAGTTAGTGGTGAGTAGGAGGGAGGGGTGGGGGGAGGGAGTGGGTGGGGAGTGCCACAGATGCCAGGCCTCAGGGGCGAAGTTACCGGATGGAGTGCCTTCGTATTTACTTTCAATCACTTGGATATGGAGTGTAGTTAAGCGCGGATGAGAATGCACGAGAGTGATTTAGTGTTTGTAATGTTTACTATTTTTGTTTTATCGTAGTTTTGTAAATTTTAGTGAGTTCGATTAAAACTTATTATTTAGCTCACACTTGGTTTGGTTAGCTGTTCTTAATGCTTTCCCAACACTATCATGTATTCTATTTAAGTTAAAACATAGTTGGAACATTCATCAAACCTTTATTTTGTTAATCTAGAGCTTGAAATGTCCCCTGTAACAATACGTGACTGCCAAGAAAAATCTTCGTTTGACTGGGGCGCAATGAATTTAAACTAAATTCGAAATATTATTTGGTGTCTTCCAAACTTTAATTTTGTTTCGTAGGATATGAGTATTCTCAAGGATTACATTGCGTATGCACGAATTCACATCCAGCCAAAGTTGAGCGAGGAAGCATCACAAAGGCTGATTCAAGCATATGTCGGTAAGAACAATTGTTCCATTTTAGTTTCCATCAGCTCTATATTAGATTGAATCATAGAACTTTTCTTTAAGTGGCAAGAATTTGATTTATTTGAATCTGAATGAAGTACGTTTTCATTGTTGTTTCAAAATGGATAAGATCTAATATATTTATGTTGCGTAGCAAGATTGTTCCACACATCGACTCCTTTGTTAGCGAATATGTGTTTTCAGTTTCAAGTGATACCACTTTGCGTCCTGCAAGTCAAACTGCTCTGAGGTATTGTGAAGTGTAGCAAGTAAACTAAAACTCGGTGTATTTTGTAGAAATGCGTAAAGTTGGAAGCAGCCGTGGCGCGGTGTCCGCGTATCCGCGTCAACTAGAGTCGTTGATCCGTCTTGCCGAAGCACACGCAAAGATGAGATTCTCAAATATTGTTGAAAAGGTCGACGTTGAAGAAGCACGCAGGTAAAGAATGAAATGTTCTATGGGTGGCTAGTGGGGGTGGAGAGTAAGGGCGTGGTAGCCTGTCTGTCCCCCACTCCATAACAGCAGAGATGTGTAGTGTTCAATCTCAATTATATTTGCCACCAACCAGGCAGAGTGATGGATATAGAAAGTGAAGAACTTCGTCACTTCGCATTAGCGTGAAATGTTGGGTTCCGAGCTAACCGCATTACCTGCAAATGACTGTAGCTAACTACAAACCTGAGTCAGAAGGTCAAATTGACTTTCTCAAGCGCAATTGCTCGAAAGGTTTCCCCAGTGGCTCTGTCCTCCGTCGCCTCTGTCAAGCTACGCGGTCCTAAACGTGCTACGGCTGTTCGCAGTGCTACAATAATTGCAAATTATTTTCGGTTACCTGCAAAAAAAATTTGATACATGCATGGTCTTTCCCTCCTTGGAGTTAACCACCATGTTATAGTATGTTGCTATCACTAAATACAGTAGCTACTGTCATTTCCTTCAGATTGCACCGTGAAGCTTTGAAGCAGTCCGCTACAGACCCTAAGACTGGCCTGATTGATGTGAACATCCTAGCAACAGGGCTGAGTGTTTCTGATCGACAGAGACGTATTGAGATCGCTAAAGCACTCAAGACGATGCTGCAGTCTAAAGGACAAGCACCAAATATGGACGCACAACGTTTGTTTGAAGATTTCCGCGAAGGATCTGACGCGGTAAGATAGGTGGATGGAAATGTTGTGTGTTATGCTATTGTTGACAGACACTGACACCAAGTTGACAGACACTCACAACGATAACAAATTGTTGTGACTTGCCAGCCTGCGCTTGCGATGATGTTATGGAACTACACGCAGGCTACGACATGGGTAGCCAGCCTTGGTTCGATTCTTCACAGTCACTTTTTTGGAGAACACTTCAAGTTTGACTCTACCAAAAACACCGGAAGTTATCACTGGGCATTCCAGTGTTCTCCTGTGATAACACTGGATCAATAAGGGAGCTCCTTACTGGACTTCTAGGAAGAACAGTTTAGAAGTGATAGAGCTATCCAGTGTTTTGCAAATCATGTGAGTGTAATACTCAAAAAAATATGGCAATTTGCTTGACCTCTGGGAAGAATAGTGTATTGTTGTAGCTTAGTTAGTTGTGCTAGTGCACCTAGTACAGCTTACTTTCTGAGTATCCGACGATACAAACTCCATCTAATCCGTAAATCTCGGAATCACTTACTGAGTTCACGGAACTTGCCAAATAATTTATCAAATATATTTTTCCTCTCCAGCCTGTAACTCGAGACCAATTTGACGATGCTCTACGACAGCTGAAGGACGAAGACTTCTTGATTGTCACTGGTAGAACTGTTCGTATTATAATATAAACATTCCCATTGTTGTGGAAAGATACAAAGTAGACGGTGTATCGTTTATTCACAACTTCAAGACAAAACTAGTTTATACACTGTACTTAGCATGCCATACATACATTACAAAATTTAACTGCTTAAAAACGGACCGCAACTATCTCACTGCATTGTAAACGTTCACAAAGAATATTTTGCAAATATTTTTTTTAACCCACAGCAGTTTCAAGAGTTGATTATTTCATTTTCGGCATAAATCATGAATAAGTTCTTTGTAGGTTTGCATGGCGATAAAACATATAATACCACTGCTTATGGAAACACCACGTAAATTATTATTAGCACTGATGAAGATCCGGGCTTACACATCGAAAGCTTTGCAGTAATAAATTTACGTGGTGTTTCTACAAGCAGTGGTATTATATAAATCATGAAGCTTTCGAAATCTGTCCCTGAGAATCGAAAATGCACGAGCTTGTTATTAAAATTACGTCATAGATAATTAGCAACGTCGTAATAAATTGATTACGTGATTTGAAATTAACGAATCACGTCACAAGCTCGCGGATTGTTGCCAAAAACGGTCGAATTTCATTCGAAATATTGCATTTTTTCCCATTTCACGATACTTTACAAATATATACAGTATGTTTTGTTTTTTATAATATAAAATAATTTAAAATTAAAGCAATAGGTAAAATTCAAAATCGCCAACTATATTCAATACCGTTTCTTGCTTCTTTTAGTTGTCTTTAATGCTATTCGTCTTTTCCTCATTTTCTTTCTGTTTTTATTTCTCCACTTATTTTTCTTTTTGTTCTTTCCCGTTTTATTCTTTTGCATTTCTTTCACAACACATCCTTGAGAAGTGGAAAACAAACCACAGACAAACAAGAACAAAACGAAAGCCATCGGATAGTTTGGAGAAACGATGTCTTTGCATTCTTTAGTATCTCGTCCTTCAATAGAAAGCCTTTCAAATCTTTCTACTCGTTTGTCTAGTTTTTCCAATCCTTTACTCACAGTTTCGAGGAATCTAAGCGCAAACTTTTGATATGCCATCTGGTAAGAATCCGAGAATCCCACGAATCTTTCAAGGAAAGGAAACTGTTCTCCGAAATCGTTTTCGTAAATGTGCCAAAGTTAAAATACTAAACCCTACAATTGCCAAGGTTACTGTAAGCATAGAAGCATTGACAACTGCTTTTTCAACCATCTTGATAAACTTTTGTGTGCGTTGAAGAAAATGCTTTCGACTGTTGCGAGATTTTTAATTATAATTACTTGCGTCATTTGATTGCGTTTGTTACGTCATAGTAAGCTACGCATAATTTGCGATACAGGGGAATGCAGGATAAGGAGGGTTTTGGAGGGAACATTCGTTTTGCAACACTTATTATCCATCTACGACCTTCCAACTCCCTTGTGGCTCAAGTATTTCAGGCTTTCTTCTGGGTAGCCTGCATGGCAGGCAGTCCCTAAAATTGGGCAAGCCTGGGAAAGGGCTATCTTCTGGGGAGTGCAAGATGGCAGTAATTTAAATAGAAAAACATCCGAAGGCCTCTTTCAGAGGCTTTAGTTGGCTAGCATTACGACTGTAAAGTGTAGTGCATCTCAATAGTAATTGTAACCAAATGAAGCTTCTGCAGAGGGGAGTCCGAAGGCCATTTCAGTAAGTTTTTTATGGGCTAAGTATGCACATTTTCACTTGGGTGCATAGTTGTTCCCAGCAAATCAAACCGTTTTAGCATTTGTAATTGTGGCATTAATTAAAAACAGGCAATCCTAGCCTGCACTTAGTGGTGAAGTGCCCTTATTCCCAGGCTTTTCAGACCTCACCCTCTTAGGCAATCAAATTCTATGGCCCATGTGACTCATGAGCAGAACCCTAGGAACAATGTTGCTGGGAGCTCCTTCAACCAAGCTTGCAAAGCACCCACTGCAAACCTGGTATCCCACAAGCCTGGATGGAGCAGACACACAAGTGAAAACAATTACAGTTGATAAATATTTTATTTGAACACAAAATCACATTTCAAACAAGTTACAATCAAACTTCAACTTAAGGTAAGTCTCATTTAATTTTTAAATTATTATTCTGTTATCTTCCCAATTTTTGTTTTTCATCAAATATTGAAAGCAGAGGAAGATGGCATGGACTGTGGTTGATCAAAACCTGGAAGATGGAAACAAAGGGAAAGTTAGAAAAATATTTGAATTTGCAAACCTTTTTATTGTAGTATATTAGCAAGCTCAGAAGATATGGATGTTGTTTTATAATCACAAATAATCATACGAACGAGACTCTACATAGTTCATCATTGCTTGCAATGTAGAAAAAAAATAGCATGTAGATGTATATGAAGTACTGCACAAAATTGGTTGAACCTAGAGCAGATATGGTTTCAGACAATCATATTATCCTTCACTTTTATATTATATACGGTTATTTGTAATTCTTACTTATTCCTATTAGTCAGATAACCGTTCAATCATGACATTGATTATATTATGTCTTGAAATGGTATGTTCCACCTATAAGAAAATACACACAATTCAAAAACACAAGAATAAGTCAAATCAATTTATATTGTCATTTCTACTGGATCAGCGTGGTGCATGAACTATGACATCACTGTAATCAGGACAGGTCTGTGGTCAAATCATCATCTCCAGTACGGTACCAATACTAAACTGTCAAATTTCAAAAAAATTACCATCACAATTTTTAACCTTGGCCTTTCACCATCACTGATCAACATCCTAGAACAGGCTCTGAAACAAAAAAGTACACAAAAAATTTGAGCAGGGGAACTTCAGATTGATTATTCTATAGTTGATTGCAGATTCATTATTCTATGGTTGACTGCATAACAAAGCCTCAGAAATTTAATAGTTTTCCTCAACTTGACATTCAGATATATGCTTGTCAAGTGTTCATCACAGGCTTTCCTAAACAGTTTGTTAATTGATAACGAAGACATAACAAGTTACTTCATTAGGCAATTTATTTCATTAGGCATACCAGATCACAAAATAAGAACCTTGCACAAAGATGACTTCTTGGTTTTTGTCTAAGATTTTGGCGTAAGTTGTAATGCTGTCGCCATGTCCTTGCTAATGCACTGACAAAAGATTTCCCCCCACCCCCCCTTGAAAATATTCAAAATGAAGGACATTCAGGGGGGTGAATCCCTCTCATAAGCACACACGCTTTTATGAAATCAATTTATCATCATGGCAGTGGTTATGCTTTTTGGCTGAGTCAATCTTCTGTAAGGTTCTTTTTCTGTGACCATGTTGAGGTGGAAATGGCTTATCTTGGGGGGGGGGCGGGCAAGACTTTGATGAGGGATTGTGATGACCAGATTTCAATATGGCGTCCCAAATTTCAACACACCTCTTGATGAATTTTCAATCCTTTTCCATCCTCTCTCTGAGATCAATTCATAACTCCTCTGAGAACAACATCTAAACAAATAAATCATATTCCATTAGAGTATATGCTTTTCTAGCGAAAATATTTAAAATATATCTTTCAAAAAGGACTTTTTTTATTCACAATTTTACCAGACCACTCAGTCGCTTAAACGGAACAATTTCTCTTCAGCGTCGTAACTCAAAGCGAGCTGGGATTATTCCAGTCATCATTGTGGTCAGAGTTAACAAAATCTAAAAGAAATGAGCAATCCTAAAAGAAATACTAACCAACAAATATGCATTGTATTCTCAACAACCATGTTGAAATTTGCCCGTTTCGAAACACGTCCATTTCATCCTTGTTTCTCGTTTTAGTTGCGTTATAATCATACTGCTTGCTTCTCTGGCGATTACAGATCAGATTAAAACGAACGGCTTTGGATTACTTCTATTCTGAAGGAAAAATATTTTAACTTTCCCAGCTACAAAACAAAACCACTATCCAGCTGTCTCTCCTCGTGCAAACTGAATATTATTAATTCCTGTGGCTGCTGCCCATTCCATACCTCGTGGTTTGTCCCCGTGACTAAATTCCCTAAAAGTGATTGGTTTATTCCCCGACAATCTTACTGCTGATTGGTTACCTGTTAAAACCGTATTATTAAATATTTCTATATATATAATATACCTTTCCGGTATTACCAGAGTAAGTACGTCACGACTAAACACTGTTTAACTGTTTTCAACTTAGGAGTTAGGACCACTTTAAATGGAATGGATTTTAAGTTTGTTTTTCACGGGCTATGGTCAGAGCAGCAGAACTGTTTCAACACATGCATAAAAAGAATTTTGGATTTTGACCAATAAATGTGGAAATAAGTTTAAACACGAAAACGAGGCTGAGGGGCCATGGGTTAGGGTTAGGGTCTGCTATATCTATGGTTTCTAGTAGGCCCCTAGCCCAACTGTAATAATAAAATGGTAAAATTTTATTGTAGTATATTAGCAAGCTCAGAAGATATGGATGTTGTTTTATAATAAAATAGTAAAATTTTGTAATAATAATAAAATAGTAAAATTTTGTAAGTATTATTAAAACATTTTTTGGGCGAAATTAAAAAAAAACATTATTGTGCAAATCGTTCATATTTTTTATTCAACATAACTATGTGTGGATTTTTTGCTTTTGATGTTTAGATAAACATAGTTGAAGCCCAGCATGCTAAAGATTGATACAAAGGTCAAAGGACCTTTGAAAAACCTTCGCTAGAAACGTTGACATTTTGCTTGTCTGTGTTGGTGTAATGTACTCAGGTGAATATGACACCGGGCAAGCTTGAAAAATATACCTGGCCACGGTGGGAATCGAACCTACGACCTTTGGAATACTAGCCCAATGCTCTGCCAACTGAAGCTACGCGGTCAGGTCAGTTCGGGTATCAGTATGTGGTATTTCGGAAATGAGTCTAGTTCCTCTGAATCCGTCCAGGAATCGAACCTGCAGCCCTGCGATTCCAGTGCAAGCGTTCTAACCAACTGAGCTACCAAGTCCAGTGCCAGTGGAATCCCAGGTTTGATTTCTAAGTTTATTACGGTGGGATCAAGACAACTACATATGGTGCAGATGTCCTTTGTTGATGATTTATTCATGAGTTTGAGAACAATAGACCTTACCGATTATTCTCTTTTACCCAATGGCCTCGTTTCCATGTTAACTTATTTTAGCATGTCAGGGGCAGATAAAGATTATATTCCCATGTTTTCCTGGACGAATTTGTTTCTTGCTGTTCTTAGGCTCAATAACAAACTAAGAAATTTCCAACCCTTAACCCTACTAAGCACAAAACATAGTATTTGACACGAAAACGAGGCCATTGGGTAAAAGAGATTAGTATAAACCATTTACCTACTACGCTACTACACATGTAAAAACGCACAAGTTGTTACAGGTCTGCAAACAAGTTGTTACAAATCTGTTCACAAGCTGTCGACAAGTTGTGTTCGCACTGCTTGTTCCCAGTTGTTGTAACAAGTTTCAAACAGGTTTGTATAAATTCCTCGAATAGCGCAACATTGCTCTTCCAAGAAAACCGGAAGAGGTCAACCCAAGTCACCTCAAACCTGTGCTGTGCACTGATCTAATAGTAGATCCACTGTGCTGTTCCTCAAATCGAAAGCGATCCATAATACGTCAAAAGGCGCCGCCGCTGTACGTACTGCATTCAATTTACTGTATTAAAATTGTGCTTTCATAACTTGGTCAGCGTTTGGACAAGCAAGAATATACCAGGTAAGTGAAAAGAATATGTTATCAAATATTCAACATAGTTGTTAATCATGGTTTGTAAGCCACTGTTAGATAAACCATAAAGCATTAAACGCTCTCGGCAATTCGTACGTCGTCTATATGAATCTATAGATTCGCTCGAATTCGCTGGATCGCACGAGTCTTCAGTGTGAACAAAGAAGCGAAATTGTGCAAATATAAGTACGGTTTAATTAATAAATCCCTCCGACTCTGTGCCATGTATTAAACATAAACAACAGGTAAAACAAACATCGATGCATCAAGTGTATGACCTGAATATGGTCCTAGCTGCTGCGAAGATTTTCAAATTGCGCGAATCAAATAGGTTATAACAGACCTTTGATTAGAAATTGCGCAAAAGTGGAAGCATTGGTAAATGGTTGCGGCTATTTAACGAATTATTCCGTTTGAATATTTGACACTTTGCTACTTTGTGGTTATATATACACTGAGGCCGCGTTTACACTGTAACGCTACGGCGAACACTCCGTTAAAAATTTACTACGTTTCTAGTATTGAGACTATATTGTGTTGACACTATAACGAAGTGGTTTGCCGTAGCGTACTAACTACGGACCACTACGTTTGGCACTACGGACCACTACCGTTGACACTCCGGATGCACTAATCACTACGCCACGGTAAATTTGCCGTAGCGTAACGCGGCCTGAGTTATGCAGGCATCTCTTAAATCGTCGAGAATTTCTATATTTTGTTATTTTGTGAAACTAATTGACAGGTTTTAATGGTTGGCTACTCAGCTGTTTTCTCCACGATTTCAATCTGTTTTCCCGACGATTTGAACCGAAATTCTCGACGATTTTAGACTTTAGAGATGCCTGCGTTGAGTAACACCGACTGAGTGTATGTCACTGAATGCCAGTGCTATATAGCCCGATCTCTTTCAGCTAGCTCGATCTGTTTTGGAGAATATTTATCTCGCAAGATGTATCATGATTCGTCAAGTGCGTCGGAATGTTAGTGATTATCAAGAGTAACAAAATGAATTCGGCGCATATTTGCACGATTTTACCTTTTGAGATCGGTTCATTCGAGTCGACACAAAAACGGCTGAAACGAATTCGAGCATACAGATAGTTTGACCGTGACGAATTTTCCCGGTGTCTTGTGAACATTGTTTTAATTTGATTATTATTTATAACAAATTAAAGAAGAACCATGTAGAATAACTAGCTAGGATATATACATGATTATAAACTGTTTAAAAGTGGGAAGAGTTGTATGTCACGCTTTTTAGCGAGAGGAATTTATGGCCTTCGGGGAAAATGTTTTGCCATGCATGCAGAGAAATATGATTTCAGTGTTATCTTGTAAGCCATAAGAGGATCTCAAGTTTATAAGGTAACATTTCAAACGAAGGCTGAGTCCGATTTATGCTTACCAGTAAACTCTAAGAGAAGAACATTGTTGAATGTTGATCTAGCTCGTTGTGATGATGACAATGACAGATTTGGATCGCGTTTGACTTTTCATTCCACACTGTGAATCATCATCCCACCTTTGCGTGAAGGTGGGCATCAATCTGCGTCCGAAATTGTATTTGTGTTGCAACTTGCAAGTTGCTACCCTGGTTCCAGAGGTTTAAAATAAACCTCTGGTTGAAAGCGGCAATCGATTCATCGAGCCGCGCCAATCAGTTTGAATTAGGGTCAATTCCTGACTCTGTCTCCTGATTGGATGATTGTACTAAAGCTCTCTGATTGGTTATAGATGTTTTATTTGAATCAATCAGAGAGCTTTAATACAATCATCCAATCAGGAGACAGAGTCAGGATCTGACCCTA